TGTCTGAGCTTTTTGTGACGCGTTTGGCCGAGGTTGTGATTGGTATGTACCATTGCTCGTTCCTCCCCTAGGCCGTCCGAGGATGGTTGTTGTTGCTCTGGGGGGTGGAACTGCCGGGTTGTGAGGTGGCGGATCCATTGAAAGATGTCCGGCCAAGAAATGTGCGGGGGGGGGGGCACCTTCTAGGGCCTGACGAAGGGTCGGGCTTTTGTCTAGAATGGCAAATAGTTGAGCGTAGCTGCAGTCCCAGAAATCTTGTGAGGCATCCGGATACTGGGCACGAGAACCATCTACCAGTCAATCAGCGATAGTCTTAAGTTTCTGTTCGGTATCCATGTCTGCTGGAGGTGCTCCTGTGTCCTCTTCATGGTCAATGTCCATCGCAGCCACGTCCGGGGGCGAAGGGAGCGGGGCAGAGGGTCCTCAATCTCCATGGGTTGCGGGCCTTTTCAAAGTCTATGAACACTAGTGCAGCGTTTTGGTGTGGTTGACTGGTTAGTTGGAGGACCTCATGTACCAGTAATATATTTTCGTGGATATTCCTGTTTTGCATGAAGCCTGTTTGTGCGGGGTGTATAATGTCCTCCATGACCATGATCATTTTGTTGGCCAACGCTTTAGCCAAAAATTCTTAGGTTACCGTGAGTAAGGTAATTGGCGTATAGTTGCGTATGTTCATTTTGTCGCCCTTTTTATAAAGTAAAGTAAGCACTCCCTTACCTACCATCTCACCCATGTCCCCTAAGTCCCATACAACAGAATAAAAATCTATTAAATCCTGACACCCCTAACACTGAAAAACTTTTTTTTTTTTTTTTTTTTTTTGCCCCAAAAAGCCCAGGGTATGTTGTAGAGACTCGGCCATGGCTGTAGTGGTTAAGAGACTCGGCTCTTGAGGCTGAGGGCGCCGGTTCGAATCCGTGCGTGCACGGAGGAAGTCTTGTGGCTGATAAAGTGCAAACTGTACTCTAACCAGGTAACCAGCCCGGAAATTATACCTGGATGTGGTGGCCTGTGGATAAAACCGTTGGATAAGCAGTTGTGCTGGATGAGAGCGGAGTGTGCCACTATTACATGTGTGGCGGATGCCTTGTGTGCTGTTGTGTGTGTGTGTGTGAGTTGAAGGACACTACAGCCATGCAGGGGTGGGGTGGATATCACGACCGGCATGGATCCACTTTTGTACACCGTGCCATGGCTGTAGTGGTTAAGAGACTCGGCTCTTGAGGCTGAGGGCGCCGGTTCGAATCCGTGCGTGCACGGAGGTCCTGTGGCTGATAAAGTGCAAACTATGTTGTAGAGGACAGGGTTTGTTGTTGTGAACTGGGATGTTGTTCTGACGTACGCCCGTGTTGTCGTTGTTTGAGGCCTGTATTAGCAGTTTAATTTTCTAGGATACTGGTAGTCATGTTTCTGATGTACTGCTAGATGGTTGCAGTTGCGTACGAATGGACCGCGGTTTCGAACACGGGACGCCTGTCATTGATGGTTTGCCCGGGCTGCAGGAATGGTACCTGGGTCCACCTTGAAATCGAGGCCAGTTAGGATATCGGCTGTGTGGTACTTGTTTTTAGAATTAGGCGGCAGTAATAGTTTGGATTGTTTTTCTTTTTGTGTGCGGTCTGGATTTGACCCATGGACGTGTGACTCAGTTAGTCGTAAGGCTGCGGGGAAACCTATATGAGCAATGATTGTACCGCTATTCGGTCTTTTCGGGTCCTACGCCGGTAAACCCGCGTCCATTTCCGGAGATGGTACAGGGTAGACTGCGGAGGTGGGAGAGTGGAATGCAGGATTTTGAAGAGGGTGAGGCAAGGCGGTTATCCCCCTGAGGAGGACAGTGTGGCGGTTGTCGAAACCGGTTGGGGTGCCATACCCACCGGCGGTTATTAATCATTCATGTACGACTGTACTTTTGTACACAGTATTGGTGATATCCTGTTCGTCTACCTGTGTGACATGTGTTTGTCTACTTGTTTGATGTGTGATCTCCTATTGCAAACAATCATGTTGTAGAGGCCAAGGACCAGACCCACGGAGATCGCTGGCAGCGGCAGCCAATGGGCGACAAGTCTGGCTTAAACCACCAGTACCTCGCTCAGCTATGGACCGCGGGCACTCCCGTAGACGCGCCGCAGCCCTAGCGGGGTCGTTCAAGGGAAGGCCCGGTCGCTTCGCGAAGGCCGGGCTCCGCTTCCCTAGGAACGACACACTTGAGAAAACAAAAAAAAAGAAAGAAGGGAGGAAAAAAAATAATACACAAACGGAAAAAAAAAGAGAAAACTACGGCCCAGTCAGGGTTTGAGTTTGTAAATGCACTTGAGGCAAAAGGGCCAGTAATGCTGAATGTATATGGCCTACGTTTTGGGTCCGGTGGGGTCGCATGGGGGGGTGTTGTATTCGCGGGATTGCTCGAAGTGCAATTACGAACGGACAAAAAGTTGAAGTCGCGCGGGGGAGAGAGAGAGAGAGAGAGAGAGAGAGAGAGAGAGAGAGAGAGAGA